ATTCCCAGCACCCACATTGCAGCTAACAACCATCTGTAACTCCAGTTCCAGAGGATCTGACTCCCTTCTCTGACCTCCGTGGGCACTGCATGACATGGGTGCACTTATACACATGCAGGCAATATACATACACATAATATAATAAAAAAAATTTTAAATAAACAGAACAAACCAAAAAAGGAGTAAAGGCTGGAGATGTTGCTCAGTTGTTAGCATAGATCCCTGCATTCGATTCCTAGCACTGTACAAAAAGGTCTGGTGGTACACTCTTATAATCCCTGCAATGGGGAGGCGGAGGCAGAAGGATCAGAAGCTCAAAGTCAGGTTCTGGAGATGGCTCAGTGGGTAAAGCACTTGCAGAGTAAGCATGAGGATCTGAGTTTGAATTCCCAGACCCACATAAAGTTTGTCAAGGCAACACTGTGATTCCAGTGCTCTGATGGAAATGTGGAGGCAAGAGAATCCCTAGAAACTCGAGGGCTGGCATGCCTGGCATATACAGCGCAGTAGCTGACAACAGAGAGACCGCTGCAGCCAGGCATGGTGGCTCACCTTTAGTCCCAGAGGCAGAGGCAGGTGGAGATCTGTACGTTTGAGGCCAGCCTGGTCTACATAGTGAGTCCCAAGCTAGCCAGGGCAACATAGTGAGACCGTGTCTCAAATAAAAGAGAGACTATGCCTCTAACAAGGTAGAAGCAGAGGACACCACCTGAGGTTCTCCCCTGCCCTCCACACATGCTTTGTGGCACACACACCCCACACAAACACACACATTCCATGTACACACAAAAAAGAAGTTCATGGTCAGCATGGGATACATGATACCCTGTCTCTAAAGATGAAAATAAATAAAATATTAATAACATTGGTGAGAATATAGAGAAATAAATACCACTGGGAATATAAATTGCTACTTTTGTGGAGGAAAAATTTCACATATTTTTTAAAAATGTTTTTATTTTATGTGTATGAGTGCATGCATATTTCTTAATTCAAAAATTCTACAAATTAAACTTAATAGTCATGTGCAGTTATACTTGTAGAAGGCCAAAAATATACCTACCTTAGTACTCATCATTGGTTAAAATACTATGAAATCCCTGAAAAAGGATCACTTAGGTCTGTATTTTTTGTTACAGTTGACTTCTATATATTAGGGAAAGAGATAAACTACTTTCAAAAAAAGCAGCTTAATAAAGTACAAGCACATGGGATGTAAAATCTGAGAGGCAGAGGATGGCAAGTTCAAAGCTGACCTGGGCTACATAAGAAAGAAAAACCCACAAAGAATGAAAGTCAGGAGGCCCTGTCTTCTTTAGAGCTGCCACAGACCCCCCCACAGGGTTCTGCTGGGACAAGTGACTGTGGGTCACTTCCGTACTTGTTCTTAGAAAACTGGTTTCTAGATGAGTGTTCTCACAGGGTGACAAGCCATGCAGGCCAAACCTTTTTGCTCTACTAGCCAATGCAAGGTCAGCCATGAAGGAAAGGGAACAGGTTATAGGAATTCACACCTGGAAGCATCCTCAGATGCTTCCTGTTGACTCAGGAATGGGCAAGATGATTCTAGAGGCCACTTCTACTTTTCTTCTTCCTGACCCTCTTCTTCACGTCCCAGGACCCTCAATACGTGAAGATGAGACACTGTCCATGGTGAGGGCTGTGTCCTGCATGTCTCCATCTACTTTTAGAAATTCCACCTCAGGGCTCAGTCTCACTTGGGATTGGGCTCCTTAAATTTTATTCTTCTTGAATGGAAAAGGTTTTCATAGAGTTCCATCTAGTGCATTAAAAAAACAAAACAAAACAAAACAAAACAAAAAAAAAACGATGGTTCAGTATCTCAGTAATCTGTCTCTGTGGGTGTTCACTTGAATTCTGAAACTAGAGCTAGGGTCTCTGAATAAATAATGAAACATGTGTTCCAAGTCTGTAGCTCTTCCTTTTCCTTAACAACATCTTAGATAACCCACCAATGGTGAGTGCCATTTGTGTGAATAGATTCTCTAGTTTTAGTTTTCCAGCCCCCCCCCCCTTTTAGCTGTCTAGATGATTAATGTGACCAGGAAAATACTGTTGACCCATTTAAATCATGTCAAACAACATCCATTGCTCATCTACATAATGATATACACACTAAGCATTGCATCTTCAGTTTGGGAGCTAGTGAGCTACAAAGTAATGTCTTAGTCATTTGGATTTTGAAACAAAAATATAAGCCATTAGGAATATGTATAGCATCAAATATTAAATGAACTATTCAAATGTCAGTGGTTATCACTTATTAACCAAAACTAGTAGCATTCCTTCATTAGTAGTTAATAAGAGGAAGTAAAGGCAGTTGCCTAAAACAGTGTGAGTTTAAGAAAAGTCTATCAAAGCGTGTTTCAATATTACTTGACTATTATGGGATTTGTTGCAAATAGTTGAGGTTTTTCAATTGCTAATCAGTGACTGTGGAAATCACACTTTTCTAAAAAAAATTGGCTGACATTTTTATCATAGTTTTGTTAAACTAGTATTTGAATAATTTTAAAGACAACTAATTTACTGTTGAAACTCTTTTGATCAATGATTTGATAACAATGATCAGCTTTGACAGCTTTTGAAACATTTAAATTTTGTAAGGACATCATTTGCACAGTGTTTAAATAAATTTGAAATTTAAAGGCACCAAATTTAGACTATCATGTTTCCATGGTTACACCTTTCCAAGTTATTTTGTGTATTGTATAAATAGGTCTGTGAGTCACTGATAATTATTTGTTTTTTTGTTTGTTCTGTTGGTAATTCTGTGTTTATCTGAATTTAATAGAGTTCACACTGGTGCGCTTTGGTTTATGTATATTTTAGTGTTTGTGATTGACAGTGATTGAGCATTTCTTATGGAATGCTTGCCTTTTTTGTCATAAATGATGTATGTTGGTAGTGCTTGAAATGTAAATAAGTTCTTCCCATATCACTGCTTAATAAACAGGAATTTTTATGCGAAAAAGACTTCTTGGTACATTTTAAACAATAGGGTTTAGAGAACTCTAGAATGTTTCTATTAAACAGATTATACATCAAGACAAATATATTTAAATTCTTACAAACTAGGTTACCAAGGACAACATAATGACATATGGCTAAGCCCTATGTTGACTGGATAGAGTTTAATAACATATTAAAAATAACAACATTCTAGACTGGAGTGTTGCTCAGGGTAGGGCACATTGCCTCGTATGCAGTACACCTGGCCCTGAGTTCAATCCTCGGCATAACAAAACAAACAAAGAAACAAACACTTTAATTAGACAAATAAGAATTTAAAATAGCATTCTGATGTGTTTTAAAAAATTGTTTGTGGGCTGGGTGTGGTGGTGTTGCCTTTAATACCAGTATTGAGGAGCCAGAGGCAGGGGAATAGCTGTGAATTCAAGGCCAGCCTGGTCTACATGGGAGTTCCAGGCCAACCAGAGCTACATAGTGAGACCCTGTCTTAAAAGAAAAACAAAACAAAACTGTGATAGTGAGCTTCATAGGGGATGTCTTCCCTGAAGGGTGGGATATTTCTCTAACATGAATTCTCTCATCTCACCTTGTACACAATTTAAAAGCTAGTCCACATACTATGTTTAGAAGGATATAGTTTTTGAAATTAAACCAGGGCCTTTTACACCTATGAATGGAAGAAGAAACTTTCTGTATACTTTACCATTTACCCATCACCAAACTAGCCAAGTTCCACCAGGAATGCTCAGAAAAAGATCCAAATGAAACTACCTTGTGCTTTTAAGCCTTCTCGGTGCACTCCAGTCATGCTGTCTATAGAATAAGGTGTTGGAACATCTGCACTCATATGTGGTGGTGAAGGGGGCCCTGTGGTGAAGTCAGGAGAAGCTGGTACTTTAGACAGTATGGTTTTGTTTTTAAATAGAGGCTCTAAGACACAGTCTAGGGTATCATTATTACTTTGTGAATTACTCATCCTGAAGCAGTTTTCAAATTGAGGGCTTATCTTGCGTTGCTTTCTATCTGTTATATGCAGAATTCATAGAGTTATCATAGCAACCTGATATGGAAGGTTTATTCCTTTTAAACAAGGAAACTAAGGGCTAGGGAATTTCACCTATCCTAGTAAACCAATGAGTACTGAGAAGACAAAAGTCAGTTTAAACAGGAACTCAAATACAATGTTCGCTTCAGCAGTACACGTACTAAGATTGGAACAACACAGAGAAGGTTGGCATGGTCCCTGCACAAAGATGATATGCAAATTTGTGAGTCATTCCATATATATATTTATTATTTTTATTTTATTTTATGCATATGAGTGTATTGCCTACATGTGCACCTGTGTTGTGCAATGCCCACAGAGGTCAGAAGAGGGCATCGGATC